GTTCGGGTTTAACCTCAATGACCTGATGCTGCAGTTGCTTGCTGCTGTGGCTGTTGCGACTGTTGTGGCAGCGCACTCACCTCCGACACATGTGCAACGGTAGTATTCCCCGGGTCCCGGCAGACTGCACTGCACTAGCCTTTTGTTGCAGAAGCGCACGCAGGGCCGGACATCTGTCATTAGCCACATGCCTGAGAAGGGTGTGGAAATGGTGGAACTTCTTGTGGCATCCTCTGCAGACCGGCATGCCATCGATGCAAAGTTCATGACGGGGCAGTGTGGTAACATCAATCTGCTGGGTGTGGGCGGTTTCGGGATGCTTACGGGATCTGTGTTTTCGCATTGAAGACAGACTGTCGAAATACACCCCGCATTCCGGACAAGGGACTCCGGCCGTTGGGTGAATGTGCTCAAGCCGACGACAACCTGAAGTTGCGTCGATCATCTGACTGTGGGCCCACTGGGCTTGTCCCTGTATCTCCGGACGTTGCATGACAAGATCTGACGAACCGACGACAAGGTCCAGGCGTTTCTGTAGATTCCCAAAGACCTGCACAAGGAGCTCGGTCGGATCAGGTAGTCCAAGCATGTCGTAGACCTCCTGTTTTGTGGTGCGCGTGATGTGTCTGGGTGACCGGGCCACCGCGCGGAGCTGTGTGTTGACGAGGCCAAGGACCTGCGAAAGGAGGTGGCCAGAGCAGCCGCAGCACGTCCGTCCATAGACCAGAGTGGTCCAGATGCATGCGCGCCAGATGCGCGCGCGACGCTTAAGGCTCAAACACCTGGTGGATGTCAGTACGCTGCGCAGTCTGGAAAATTGATTCTTCGCGGTGTCCATCCTATGACGCACAGTCTGGCTTTCAAAGTCAAAGAACGATATCACGCACCCCAAGTACACATGTGATTTCTTGACCGGAATGTGCAACGGCTTCTCCTGCAGCCAACTGAGGTATGTCCCGTTTGAACTGGTACGCATGTGTTGGCGCAAAAGCGTGCGTCCCTCACCGCGTGCCATTCTGATAAGAAGCGCAGTCTTGCTAACATTCACATTCAAGCCAAACCACGTGAGGCCGGAAATAAATTGTGGGATCATGCGCAACGAATCAAGAAATTGCTCACGGGTGTGGAAAATGCGGCTCAACAAAAAGTCATCTGCATAGACCTGCACGTCATCAAGTGGGATCAGAGACTCAAGCTGATAAGCAACATGGCATGTAAAACACGGCCATATCAATGGTGACAATACGCATCCGTGCCTAACCCCTATCTCGGTAAGCAACTTATAAGGTTGATGTGTGCATGCTGGAGGTGATAAGTGGACCCCGTGAGCCAAGCCATTATACTTTGAACATCTTTGTCAAGAACCCCCACCGCTAGCAGTGAATCCCTCACAAGTGCACGGGGGACAGCATCAAATGCCATTGACATATCAAGCGAAAGAACATACTGGGGAGGCACGTTATGGTGCACACGTTTTCGAAGGGTTTTTCGGCCTTGAACATGAGCCCGTCAAATCTGTCAAAATGAAGGTCGAAACAAGGTCCGGGTTGGTTTGGAGGCTCCCTCTATCCGCACAAACCGCGAAACCCAACACACAACGTCAAACGCGGGCTAGCTGCTTTTGCAACAATGACAGACAGAACAACTTCATCCTGAAAGGAGCAATCCACAAAGTAAAAACCCGAAATACAACTGCATGAACGGCTCGAAAGTGGCCCTCCGGCACCAACATGCAAGCCCAAAAATGGGGCCATTCTCTAAGCCTTCGAGAAATGTTCCAACACCAAGAGGCACCAAAAACGGACTCGAATTCCAGGCCAACTTACTTTTTTTTTTTCTTAACTCCAACAAAACGATCACAATTTCTTTCTTTTTTCTTGCGCAACCACTCCAACTCCATCCAACACCACGGCTCTTGCTGCAGTTTTCCAGACAACACAGCAACAACATTCCAAGCTGAAGCTGTCATTCGTGGGCCCACTATGCGTCTCTCCAGAATGCGCCCCCACAGTGGACACCGCTAATTCGGCTTGGAAATAGTAAGATCTAATTTGCCTGAATAAGGCTTATTAAGGCCTAAAAAAGCGGTGTCCACATCCTTTTCTTGTCAAGTGTGGTTTTGAGTTTTGGCGCCCCGAGCTCAAACGCGCAGAAAGTGCACGTGACAGGTAAACTGATTGAGGAGCCCTAGCGCTTGTTGGTGGCTCGGCGGCGGTCGGCCGCACTGTGGCGCCCGGCAGAGCTGAAGCTCCGCTGAGGCGCCTTACAGTGCGAAGCCCCGCTGTGCGGCGGCTGCGCCGGATTTAAGGGCTCACGCCACTGCCGCCCACCCCGCTACCCATTCTGAAGGACCGTCTCGAAAGTTAAAAAGAAGCCAATCATTTTTTCGGAGTCTGGGCCTGGACTCTGCGGCCGGAACCGCCCTGGGCACAAGGGAGCCTGGGGAGAGACCTGCTGCCAACAGCCCAAATGTTGACCCTCTTTTCATAAACACCCCCCCAAGAAGGTGGACCCCCCCCTTCTCCACCCTTCTCTAATAGTGTGGTGAGTAGAACTGGAGAAGTCGACGTCGTCATCGTCGTCATCGTCGTCGTGGTCGTCGCCGTTGTCGTCGTCGCTCACTTTGCGGACCCAGGCCCCACTCGAAATTCTGTTCCTCGAGACTCTTTAGCATGGTTCAGGCAACAGAGATCCTAGATGCCGACACCGCTCAAGCCTCCACACCGGAAACGCAAAACCTTGTTCTGGGCGCCTAGGGCCGCTGGCTTCCACACTCCAAGCTCCCAGGTCTCCAGGGCCCAGGTTCCAGCCCCAGGGCCCAGGCCCGGACTCCGAAAAAATGGTTCTAGGTTCTTTTTTAAATTTCGAAACGCTCCGTGAAGTTTGGCCGAACGGTTTTTGCTCTGGCCGTCAATGTTAACCTTCAATTTAATACCCCAAAAAGTCCGGATCCAGGGTCCAAAAGAGGAAAAATCATGAAACCATTGAAGACTGATTCCACGACCGCCACCACCACTTTCTGTAAATATGATGTCTACGACGTCTTCGTGTGTTGCGGAAGGGCACACAGCTTGAGAGTTCTGTAAAAGCGTTCCGGTTAAACGTGTTTACTAGTACTTGGCCGCCATAGTCTCAAGCATGTTCCGATCCATAGCCTATCGAGCAAGCATTATCATAATCAGTTAGTTAGCTAGAACCTACTGGGAGGTCATGCGTATAAGGCCGTTTCTTTTCAGAAGAAACCTTACATCTGTGCAAGCTCCAACGGTGGACATCCTGGGCCATGTCTGCAGACACCTTGCAGCTCACCGTGCGGTCCATGGACGGCTGTGATTTGTTGGGGCCGTCACTTTCTGTTCCGTCGCAGCAGACAGCCCTGAACGTCAAGGAGACCTTGGCGGCCGGGGCTCTATCGGGGAGCTCCCAGTGTGCCATCCGTTTGTTACATGAAGGAGAGGAACTTTCGAATGCCATCTCTCTTGATTCCCTGGGGAAGCCGAATCTGGAGCTGACCGCGGTATTGTCCCACTGCCTGAACACGGAGTTGGCAGAGTCGGTTCTACAAGCCAAGAAGCGGCAGAAGCTGTGGTCTGAGAGCAATGACGTTGGCGACACAGTGGAAAGTAAACGCCAGCGGAAAGCCAGCGACATCCAAATGTACGAATCCGAATTGGTAAATCTCAGCAAGCAACTCTGTGACGTGGGAAT